GGTCTCTTCCAACTCTATGATTCTATGATTCTATGATTCTAGGGTCTCCGGCCCCATTCACTCTATGAAAATAATTTGGGTTGAATCCTTGCTGTTCACACATGTCCCAAATGCATTTGATGCACTTTGGGGGGGCTGGGGGGCTAGCAGAAAACCCTCTCTAAACCCAGGATATTTGATACTGGGCTCCCCCCCCCCCCCAGCTTTCCTGAAAGATTTGCATCGATCCACATATTTGGCAGCATGAGTAAGCTTCCGAATCAATTCAGATTGCTCTGCATCATTCAAAGGAATGGAGGCAGGTCCATTTTATCACAAAATGTTGGCATATGTGAATAACAAAGTGGTTACAATGACTCAAAGAGATTTGTGAACTCAAAATAAAATGAGAACAAACCTAAAATGCATCAGCACAGTGATCTGCATCCCTTCAGGACAAAAAAATTGCCCCCTCAGCTTTATGCCCATCCCTATGGTATAAACCCCCATGACCACTATAGATCTTCCCCCCTCCACAGACCATTCCCTCCAGCAAATCCCAATTTGGTAACAGGCAACACTGAGGGCAAGCTGTGGGGAGATTAGTTGTGAGCCAGAAAAGATAGATTCCCCTATCTATGCTCAACTTTCCCCCTCAACTTTGTACCCTCTCCTCAGCTGTAGCCATGACTGAGACACATACAGATTTATATAAATGGATCACTGCCCACTGTAATGTGACATGTTGGCTTAATCACAGAGGGAAATGTCCCCAAAGACTCCCCAAAGTAATGAAAAATTGTAATGCTATTAGATCTTGTACCATATTGTCTGTCCTATTTCTGTACAATGTGAGAAGTGCATTACAGAACCTAATTTGGGTGTATGCATAAACCATGCTGTGAAGGAAGGTTCTTAAAATGAGGTGCATATTTAGACTACTTCCTAGTGTTCCCAGAAAAACAAACAATACATTGCTCTGGTTTTGTGAAAATAGAAATGTTGTTTCCAGTAATGTTAGAGACTGATTGTATGCAAAAATCACACGTGGTAGTTTTGCAAAGAAAACATTTTCTGTGCAGAAAATGCTGTTTCCTGCACAGAAAACAATTTCTTAATTTCTTTGCAAAAGTCCCACATATGATTTTTGCATACAGTCTCCAACATCACATATATGTGTGTACAGAAAATGCTGCTTCTTGAGAAGAAAATGCTGTTTTATGTGCAATGTGAATTTTGCACAGAATAAGTCCCAAATTATGAACAATCCAGGATTCTCTTTGGCAAGGTTTCCTGTTTTCAATCATTTTTCAAATATTATTTCCATACTTGTAAGGCAGATATACTCCCATGCCACAGTTTGAATTCTAGCAGCAATAAGAGGCAGCTTCAGCCTTGTAATCATATCATAAATGTTTGCTGTGGTTGTTAGGACACTACGCTGGGGGGGGAGGTGGCTTCCTTTTTAGTTCCTGGTGATCCACCTCCCCCCCCCCCCCCCCCCCCCCCCCCATCACACAGAGAAATTGAGAATACAAGCATACATTCAGCTTTAGGCATCTGGATCCATGCTGTGTCTGTGGCTCTTTTGTGCCTCTGTCTCCAGTCTGCAACATTCACTTTCTACATGACCAATAGTGCTTCTGATGGAATTTGATTGGATAATGAAGGGAAAACTTTTGAGTTCAAGAAAGGAGACATTATGAATTGAAGGCCACAGTTTATTCAATGATAGAGTGGTGGTCCAGCTGTCAGCAGTAGAACTGAGCAATCAGACACTGAAGCAAATATACACTACAATTTATAACATTTTTGAAAAATCTATCTAGCAACAACATACAACAACATATAGTAAATCATAGGAGTATACTGAAGATATGTTAGCCAGTCATGACACAGCAGTCATTAACCCAGAATGGAATATTATCAAACAAGCACCAGGTAAAAACTATTCGCGTTGAACCTTCTCCTTATATTTCAGATTGCTGTTGTTATGAGTAGAAAGTGCCAGTCAGTTGACAAGAGAGTCACAATGTTTTGGTAAGGCTTAATCCGTTTTTCCTTGAGATTCCCAAGAGCTTAATGATTCTGAAGTTGTTGATTTTTTTCCCCTTCATTCAGAATACTTTTCCTTTAGCATAGCTCTACCTTACTTTGGCCTTGTAAACCTCAAACCTTTTCCCTCAACTGATAGTTGATGAAATAGCATCTTCCTCCATGCTTGAGAAAGCAGATTAATTTAAGAGATTCAAGAGAAGCAATGATCCACACACTGCTCCCTCTCCCCAAACAGAGATGACGACCTGGAGAGGTCAGAAAAAGCCCAGTCCTGTCATAGTTGTCTCCCAGAACCATCAGACAACCTTCTTTACTCTGCTTCTGTCCTCCTTCGTGCCTGCTTATGGCTCTGATGAAAATCCAAATAGTTGCAGTAAATCTTCTGCTTCACTGCATTCCAAGATACACACATCTCTATTCCTTCAGAAACAACACCAGTTGCACAGCTTGCAAGCAAAACAAAGAAGAAACTCACAGCTCTTCTCCCACTCACATGGAAGCTACTGTTACTATTCCACTTATCCCTTCATCCTTTCAGCTAAAAAAAAAAAAAACCTTACTTGAAGTACAATCAAAAAGCTGCCCACACATGTACCGGCTGACTTGCTTTACATAGACCCAACATACCACCTCCACATTAGCAGCACCAACAGCCTCTTTTCAAATGATTAAAGGCAAGAGAGAGCCACAGTTTGTGGGACTTGAAGGTAAGATCCAAAACAGTGATACTGGATGGAACGGTGTAGAAACATCTCTAAAAGGGAAGTGATTTCTCTCTACCTACATGCACCACATGATACACTTGGAAGGCCTGAGTGAACTTTTACTATCCTTTCAGTGATCAACTGAAAGTGGTCACTACTTTTTCAATAATGTTTTGTGCTGCTTAAAAAAAGTTAAATGCACTTCCTTAAATGCATTGACCTACATGGTATAGCAACCCTCCTGATGGCTGGAATCCAAATTTAGATGGCACTGAGAGCAGGGACTGGCACTTTTCTTGCTTTATTGAAAAGAAGAAATAACATGCTCTTAATACCTACAGCTTTGAACTGACTCAGTATCATTGTTTCACATGAGTGCTAATGTATTGGCTAAGCTGTGAACTGGTAGGTCCCTGATTCACCTAAGCCATGAAGTGACTTGCTTGTCTCAGGTGATCATACTGATGATAAAATTCTGGTTTGCTTTAAAAGCCTATTAGAAAGAATTTACAAGATATAAATAGGAGAATAGGAGGGCTGTGGATTCTGAAAATTCACAGCCTTTTTCAACACATCCTCCGTACATGTCTCCCCACCCCTCAATAATACAATACATACGAAACACAGAATCTTCATAAAAACCTGAGATTTCAGTTGAAGCAATTATGAATACAATTAATAACATCACAGTGAAAGATATAGCTAGCTCCTACTAGTTAAATTCCCTTCAACAACATATGATCACACTACACAATTATAGTGCTATAATCCTACTTGAACTACCATGGGAAGCCCTGGGGTTTGAGGTTTGGTGAGGCATGATAGGAGCTCTTTACCTGAGAATTCATCAGTACCCCTCACCCAATCCCAGGGTTCCGTAGGTTGGGACTATGCCAATTAAAAGTGGGATCATATTGCTATATTTATGTAGTGTGAAAGGGTCCAAATTTATTCTGACAAAGGTCTGCTCGAATGTCACATAATGACTGGCTGAGGAGATTTCCACAGTAGCTGGGAGAAGGTTTCCAACTTCTGATGTCCTACTTCCTAGGATAGAACTTTTTTCCTCTCTCTCAAAAAGCAAGAGGTTTGAGACATTCACTTTCATTCAAGCAGGCCTTCAGTTTTAATGAAGATTCTGTTTTCCATATGCATTGTATTATTGTTAGCCATCTTTAGTGCCATGTTTGATGAAAAGACAGGACATAATTAATAATTAATTTTGAATAATAAGAATAATAATGCTAATCCCCTTCAGGATGTCTCCTACATATCATAGATCGTATCTTAAGTGAGTTGCAGAACTTAACAAGTAGTAACACTAACAGCCAGTGTGACATAGTGGTTTGAGCATTGGACTATGATTCTGGAGACCAGGGTTCAGTTCCCTGCTTGCCCATGAGCAAGTCAGGGAAGGGTAATGGTAAACTACCTCTGAACAAATCTTTCCAAGAAAACCCAAGGACAGGTTCACCTTGGGGGTCACCATAAGTCAAATACAACTTGAAGGCACACAAACAACAAAGTACTAAGTGTATGATCTTTCCAGAAAAGCAGGCTACGGAGAATATAGAAAAGCAATCTACAGAGAGTCCAGAAAAGCAGACTATGAAAATCTACAGAGAGAGAGAGCTTACTTATTAATTTCTCTTCCAGTAAACAAAATGCAACTGAAACTGATAATCAGTTTCTATTTGTCATGATCTTAGAGCACTGGTATCAGTGAAGAGGCTTCTGTTTAAGTCATAATTTTAAAAAGCAAATGCATTTGTCAGCACCTACTTCCCTCAAGAGTTTTGATGGGTCTTATTTGTTACCACATAATTGTGAACAGAGCTACGATTTTCAAAGCGGAATTATCTTTGCAGTTCTACTAGCCACATAATTGTCCCCTACAGTGAAGGAAGGAGAGAAAAAACCTTGATGCACAGAATGAAATGCAGTTTTAATAACATCCTTTCAGGAGATGAACCTCTTAGACATTTCTGTGTATGTCTGCATTCAGGTGGTGACTCATTCTAAAGGCCAGGAGCAGCACAATTGTCAGGAAAGGGTATATTTTAACTAAAGGAAGGAAATGGCTCTAATTATCATTAGAGCCATTGAATACTTGATCGTAATAACTGCACTGGACAAAGGTCTTCCTGTTGTCTTAAATGTTACACAAAACAGCTTGTCTTTGCCTAACGTTGTCTGTACAGAAGAAAATAGGGTTGGGTTTTTTTCAGTTTACCTGTTCTACTGCTAAGCAAAGCAACGTGACAGAAAGTAAAAGGTGTGTTGGGATGGATATTAAGGGAAGAAAATCTCTGTTGTTGTGTACCTTCAAGTGGTTTCTGACTTATCATGGCCCTAAAGTGAACCCATCATAGGTTTTTCTTGGCAAATATTTATTCAGAGGGTGGTTTGCCATTGTCTTCCTCTGAAGCTGAGAGAACATGACATTGTGGCAGGAAAGACATTGGCCTAAATCCAGTTGCTCATTCCAGCTACAGTAAACCAACTTAATCAGTGAAGCATTGACTTATCATTCAGCAATTGATTCAAAGAATCTACTTCTCTGGGGACTTGCAAATGGATTTAGGCTGTCACCTTGTCTCTGTGACAAGATTTATAAAAGAGCAAGAGTCTGTCTGTTTAATGTACTGGCCAGGCATTTCAGAAGATGAAATCATTGAGCAATTTTTGAAAATCCTTAGGACAATTAATTACTGACCCTCTACCCATAGTATTTTATGTTTCATGTCATATAGCAAGTTTTTCTGACAATTATTAGAGTAACAGGACATTTACTGAGGAAGATATATCAAAACAGGATATAATCTAGAAGTCCTGTATTACATTTGGTTGTGTTCTCCTGCCTGTTAATGTTCCTATTTATTCTTATCAATATTGTGTAAACTGTTTGACATTTAGTGCTTCTGGTTTATTTGGTTTGCCATTCCACACTATGAATTTGTAATACACTGATTTCTTTGCAAAGTTTATACTTTGTATTTATTCAGGTTTTGTATACAGTTAGTGGCCTTCATGTTATATATTTTGCATCCATGTTCTTTTTAAGCATTTTGGGTTGGTTTGGGTTGGTTTTGACTGCTACCTTTTTGTGTTGTCTCTTCTTTTGTGTGCTATGCATGTCCAGGAGAGAACAAACTTTTTGTCGATTTTCAGTCTTGGCAAAGTTTCAGAATCAATATGTCTAATTTAGGGGAAATGGCATTTTAGGTTTCAATAAAGAGAGACAAAGAAACGTCAGTTGTCTAGATTCGAGAGTGTTGACTTAGCTGCTTCCCTCAGCAGACAGATACCACCAGATCCAGAATTGGAGAAATATTCAAAGGAAGACTGAAAGACCTGCACCAATACTTTTAAGAAGAAATTATGAAGGGAAAAAAGAGGAGGAACAGTAAATTTTATAGAATTTTGTACCATTACCTCTCTGCTGCTCATAATGGGATTAAAGAATAGAAGTCCAGAGGAATAATCATTTGGGAATCTGAAAATTAAGAGTTGTGCACTATACTTTCCCCACTTTGAGTACTGCTCAAAGTGGTGTATGAGTACTAGTTCCAAACCCTGAGCCATTAGCTTGTGGTCCTGGAGAGCTTTTGTAGCCTGTGGGCATAACTATACCAATGGGCACAAAAATGGTGATGAGGAGATAGCTTAAGAAGCTGTGCCCTAAATGCCATCTCTACTTTGCATCTTGATAAACAACAGCATGGGCTGCCATTTTACAGTTAATTCTGCAAACTTGTAGAAAAAAAGCCTTCTCCCAGCAACCTTTGGGCTTGCCTACACCAGTAAAAAAAATGCCAAACCCACCCCAAAGCAGGTGCGGGCAGTCCTCACAACATGTGGCTAGCTCCAGGGAGATACCACAGGCTTTGGTCCCTAACCCAATTTTGCTCCAAACTAAGCAAAGTCAGGGAAATGCCTGGTGTTTTCTGGAAATCCCAGAGTGACCTTGGGTTCTTGTGGCATGTGGACAGCTGGATTGGGTCCAATTCAGCCTGATCCATTATCCACATGCCAAGACACATGACATCCTCCTTCCCTGTACTGAGCAGGGCGGTGAAAGAGCATGGCCTATTTTTGTAGCCACTGCCACTGCTTCGTAATGGGCAAGAGCTCCATGTAAAACCTGCCTGGTAGGCTGTCACTTCTGCTGAGCTCAGAATGGGGAGGTCATGTGATCAACAAGGAGGAAGTAGAGTGTCTCCCCTCCCTGTCAACCACATGGGAGGGTAGCCTGTTGTGACAGGGCACACAGCAACAACAGTGAGCCGTGCAGGCTCCCACAGGGAGCTGCTTGGTTGGGAAGGATGCAGTGGTAGCATCAACACTGGGGGATAGACCAGTGGAGTAGATGTGGTGTCAGCCCATGAACACAATAATGCAGCATCACACTGTATTTTGTTATCATTATGGCCAGTCTGTGGCCAATCCAGGGCACAATGCTCTGGACCAGCTCCAGATTAAACAGCTGGTATAGACTCACTACTGGCTTCAAAGCCATCAAAGTCTATTGTATTTCATCACACAAAGGTATCAGCCCTATTTAGGTGTGATCAGCACTACTCATCATCCCTATAGGCATCTTCTGCTTTCTTCCATTGGCCCAACTGAGATCCTATGGAAGGGCACAAGACGCTGATAAAGACTTGCTGAACTCTGAAGACAAAGCAGTCTGGGCCTAACACAGGATGCAGACAGGCCCAGATTTTAAAATCAAGCCTTTGTGACTGCAAAAGATATAGGATTTTTTAAATGCTCTTTTTTAACTGCTTTTGTTCTCAATCACCTCATGGGTATGAGAAGTGTAGCTTGATTTTTCTGTCTGCCCAGACTGTCTCTCTTTAATGCCTTAAGTAAATAAGCCTGAGGCAAACAGGTGACTCTAGAGCTGTCATTTTTTTTTCCATGACATGGGTGTTTTGTTTTGTTTTTTAGCATCTTTGCCTAATGAAGAATACCATGAGTTTCAAAAGCTGGTGTGATTAACATTACACATCTTGGTTGGCCTAACTGCAGTATCACCAAAATGTATAATTTGGATTTTGGATTGAATGTCTGGGAGTTGCTAGTGTAATATTTCACCTTCAAGTGATGTAAATATCAAAAGGGTTTTGAAACTAGGGCTGAGGAATTTATGGACCTCCAAATGTTGATGAATGTATACATCTATAATCTCTTATTATTGGCCAGGCCAGTTGGGGGTTAATGAGATCTAGAGTCCAACAGGTGGAGGGCCTAAATTTCCCTAACTCTTCTCTTGAGTAAGGTTTCTGTGACAGCATAATATTTCATTGGGTAGAGTATGTAGGACACATTCTACTGTATATTTAATTTTCATGATCACTTAGCTTAATGATTCCACAACAACAAGCAGTGCCTATTTGCATTCTATGCAAATCAGTACAATGTACTTGTCAAACAAGTCATAACCTTTTGCTTGCTCTGCAGTCACTGGTGACATGAATCAATAGCTACAGATAACATTTGCAAAAGCACAAAGATGATGAGTCAAGAGGCTTTTAGTCTGAGGAGATCTAATTTTTCTCTCAATTGCTCATTTCCACTCAGTCAGTGTCTTCATTCTATTGCTAAGTAACTTTTAAATTATTATTTTATTAAGCATTGCTGCAGGGGGGAATAAGAGTTAGATTTTAGAATGTAGTGTTAGTAGCAAACTATACTAAAGTGCCTGAGAATTGGCCCTATAATTAGGTAGAGTTAAGTGACTGCACCAGGCATCAGATTTGGGGTGATATTAAAGGGAAGCAAACTGTTTGATATTTAATTTATTGGCATTGTATTTTCATTAGCAATGATGGGCAGAGATGCCTGTGAGATTTTTTGCCAGAGGTGCCAAAATAACATGGTTGGCCTGGGGTAGGGATGTTTTAGGATTTCCTTGTTTCCTACTTTTCATCTTGAAGGAGGCAATGAATAATTTTATCAATTTCCTTCTCACTGCAAAAAAAGTCTCCAAAAACTGCAGTTTTCAAGGAATATTTGAAGTTTAAAACTTGGCTGGTGTCTGCATAGGCCAAAATACTCCAGGAACAGCCCAAAGTATTTTGGCATTTTAGCTGCCCCTAATGACCCCATTAGTTGGGCACTTCATTGTGAAGCAAGGTGCCTGTTTGCACACATGTCCCACTGTGCCTCCTGCTACCACCACCAATGCCATGCCTCAGTCTCTCTGAGGTCAGAACAAGGTACCCCATGTACCTCGCAAGGGGGCAAAAAATCATGCCAAACACTATACAGTCAGCCCTCAGTATCCATGGGGAAAATGTTTCAAACCCCCAACACAGATGCCAAAATCCATGGATGCTCAAGCCTGTGTTGTCCCCAATGGTAGCATGTACATGTGGGCATGCCACCATTGA